CTGGCCATTCTGAGAACTGCTGCGTCATTCACAAAGTCACAAGGAGAGCTGCTACAGGTGTCATTTTCCCTCCACACTGACCCTGTTCACAGCAAGACGCAAATTTAGCAGACTAATCCCTGTGATCAGACTAAATACCAGACCTGGGTCATACAGTAGATGCATTTATAAAATCATGAATATGAGGATTTAATTATAAAATACGGTCAACAACAATTTTGTCAACACCCAAATCTACCCAAAGTGTGTTTAACATCGACAAGCAAGTCGTTTCCAAATCTAATGGTTTGTGGTGACGTGATCCGGTCACAGGATTTCTACCTGTCACTGAAAGCCAAAACATCCATGGCTGAAATCAACTGCAGCTAATCAAATGTTTCACACAGGAATTCAGGGAAGCCGAAGTGATAAAATGGAGAGATTAAGATTAAGATAAGTTTTTCTAACCTTATGAGTCTCAACATGATTAGACTTTATCTCCTCCTACGCAAGTCTCACAGCCCTCTCACCCCTTGTGTTGTTCCCGACTGGTAGGCAGCCTTTAATTGACAAAAACAATAAACTGCACATTTTCACACATAGGAGGTTAGACAGTAAGCGTCAAACAGAACTACGTTCATCAATCAAATCAAATGTGTTTATAGTTGTTCTGAATGGCCAGAGTCAGAAGTGAAGTGAAGAGGGTTTAGGCCTACAGCTTTCTGCTCTATAGTGTGCTGCTACTAGACTGCTGCGAAAGACAACACACACTCATTTATTGTCTGTCCGTCATGCCGTAGACTACAATTAAGAATTCTGACCTTCTGCTCATGATATTGCACAGACAGCACAGATAGTTTTACACACAATTACAGAACACACAATAGCACAGTCAGCACTTTATTATAGTAGTTGATGGCATTTTCACAGTAGCACCTGCTTGTAGCCATGCAGATCTGAGAGATGTCCTTCAGGCTATCTGGTGGGATTACCATTAATTAAAACTGGAATGGTGCAGTATATGGACACCCCTGAGAACATAATACACACACACACAGTTATACACACACATTTGTATGACTATGCATATGATGCCATTGGTGTACGTTTTTAGTCAATCTATAATCTTGACTATTACAACTAGATGCCAAACCTCAACCAAAAAACCTAATTTAATGCCTCCTATAAGAAGGGTTGCTGAGTAAAATGGAAGTACAATGGCACACACACACACATTCACACAATGCCTGACCAGAAACAGGCAACATGTGCAAATGTTGACTTCTTCCTGTACGTACATGCACTCAAGAGTACAGATAAGCAATGATATAAAAGCACATATATACAGTATATATATACATGCATGGTAGCGCATTTTCATGCATCTATGAACACAGACACACATGCACAAATACACATGCACAGAGACCTAAATAGACCCCAGGAGTAAATTTCTTCTTCCCTCACAGATGGGCTTCAATCTGTAGTTTCCCAACGTGTGTGTGTGTGAATGTATATGTGTTGGTGACTGTTTCCGTGTGTGTGTGTGCATGTAGTTTTGTGTGTGCAGGCTATATATAAATCTACACTGAGAAACAACATGTTGACTTTAGTTTGCCCCTCTGGTGAGCCAAAACAGGAAGTGCACGTAAGTCTGTGTGTTTAATGCATGTTTCCTCCAAGTGACTGACATTTATAGTGCACTACATTAATACAGTTGCGCTGTTTTGCTAAGCTTCTTGTTAGTAGACTAGAAGACACATTCAAAACACTGGGTTACAAAAATCTGGTAAATGCATTACAAAGTAAAAACACAACGCTGAAATTCATAATATTGTGCATTTATATAGTGAAGCATATATTTTTGAATGCTTTCATGCACACAAAAGGTGGCTACTGAAGAAGCAATCTCTTTTAATCAACAATCCTTAAATGATCTCTGCTCCTTTTAAAGTTCTTGAATATTTCTGTGCATGTCTGTTTGTTGCAGAGCGCCAGGCCTGCTGCCGATGGAGTCGTTCACGATGGTGGCTGTGAAGATGCTGAAGGAGGAAGCCTCAGCTGACATGCAGAATGACTTCCAGAGAGAGGCAGCACTAATGGCTCAGTTTGACCATCCAAACATCGTACGACTCCTAGGTTAGTGTGTTTGTACGTTTGAGTTTGTGTGAGTGAGATGGCCAAAACCAGATTTCCAAAGAGGCTGCCACTCACAGCTGATTTCACATATCTTACATTACACAGCTGGATTGGTGTATTCGCTTGAGAGATAAGGAAAGTGCAATCGCAGAAAGAAACAAGAGAAATTGTACAAGAATAGGCATAGAATAGGAGGAACAAGACAGAAAAGTAGATAAACATGTCCACAAACATGAGCTGAACTGCCTCAAGTGGGGCTGAAGAGTCCAAATTAAAAGATGAAAAGGTCTGGGGGTGCGGAATCAGAAAGAAGTGAGCTTACCAGACCTCTGTAGCCTGCTCCTCATTTCTGCTTGAGGCTATAGGCCAGATCAGCCAGTCCCTCCGGGAAGTTACAGACAATTAAGACAAATTCAACCAATCCCTGTGAATTCTGCATGACCTTGCAAATTTAAACATTTTATTTTCCCGTGCAAAACGCTGACTATTCATCAAACTCACTTCCTTCTTTTTTTAGTTGTTGCAGACCATGCAGATATGTCAAACATGAACATCTCACATTTACCCTCCAAACTGTGTGGTTTTATTCTCTATTTTTGATGAATTATACAAAAAATGCTATTTTTTCTCTTTTCACTTTGTCATACCCCATAAATACCCACTGCAATATATATCTCAGATTTCTTCCACTACTAGCCTAACACAGCTGAACCTCTGACCCAAGAGTCAATATATGAGTGGCATTGTGGGTAATGTAAGGGCAGGTTTGGTAAAGGAAGAAGAATGCATGGACTACAAAACAATATCTCTGGTTCTGCTGCATCAGCTTTTGATTTAGATTTTTTAACTATCTGTGAGTCCGGCAGTGTTACAGGAGTTCAGTGGTCAGGACAATGCTCTTTTAACTATGTGCTCTGTGTTGGAGGGGTGGTTTCCTTCTTGGCTTTTGCGAATTGAGCAGTTCATCACAGATTTCCACTGTCAAATCTTTATTTCGTTTCCCTAAAATATTCAGCCTTGGCAACTACAGCATGATGGTTTTGGTGAAGGTTAGGCAACTAAGGGAGAACTTAGGGGGAAAATGTGATTTCGAAAAAGGACCACACACAGACTTTGCTCTTTTTGTAATCTTTTTTACTCAGACAGCATTTTGCTGAGCCAAAGCCCAATATTTTGGCATACTTCTTTATCAGGGGCCAAACAGAAGTACAGAAACCAGTTTTATACATTTTCAGTCTACTTCAAGGCATCCTTTTGGATTAGTGTATGATTCAGTAACTAAGCCATCATCTGTATCACCTGTATGGCTGCTCTTCTATACCTTTTACATGCCCACACTGTGATGGGATCCTTTAGTGCACTCCAAGACAAACGTGACAAAGGTTTGAATTAAACAAAGAGAAAAGAGTAAAAAACTTGATTATCTCAGTGGTACATACAAAACAAAGAGAACTAATCATGTGAAAATAAGGGGGAACTGCACTCAACAGCCCTTTTAGTACATTTCTTCTTTAAGAGTGTTCTTTATAAATTCAGGCCTTCACATCCTGTAATTCTCCTGAATGAAGTCATTTTCCTCAGATCTTTTTCATTGTAGTACTAATAAACTGCTGGAGATACAGATAGGACTGTTTGCCAGTAAACAAATGCTGCCTGACAACTAATGTGCCTCTGTTGGCCTGCGTAATACAAATGTCCTCTATTAAAGTTTATCTATACTAATTCAGCCTATCTAATCTAATACAAACAGCTCGCATCCAAATATCATTCCAGGAAGACATTTAGCGAATACAACACACTCTACTTGGCACGGTCAGTAAGTAAACAGACCTATTGGTCCTTGGCTGTGCAGAAAATGTTTGTTTAGGTTGGTTTATTTTATGGCTCCAGTGGTTGTGAAATATTTTTAAATCAACATCCATCACTGCAGAAAAGAAAATTAGGATTTTTCAGACATGTATCAAAGTATCGTTTTCTGTTCAGTTTTGAGTGACATTCATTTTAGATGTCTCATGTAGAGAGCTGACACTCTAATGCTGAAGTCTCTGGTGAAACCAGAGTTGATTAAATTATCTAGTTAACCTCTGATTACCCTCTTGACTAATAATACACCACAAATCATATGCAAAAATACATGCGCCATCCATAACATGCATGTGTTCAAATTAGAGATGCCATATGACTGCATGACATTATGTTGTTGCATGGTCGTGTGCAGGATGGGGCCTCTGTGCTCTGTATATTTAGCGATGGAGTAAAACATTTTGATCCAGCTACTGACCTTGAGCTGAAGCTGCTACTGTTGAACTGCAGTCCTGTTTTTGGACACCCCCGATGGACACGCACCCCAGGGAGCAGTAATCAGAGCTTATTCTCTGGGGAGCTGTCCCGTTCTGTGACCCACAGGACATGAACTAACTAAGCATGACCTCCAAGCTCTCTTCTTCTTGCCTAAAGTTCCATGTGAGCCATTCTTGTGCTGACTTGGACATCGTCACAGTTAGATGGCAAAATAGTTCCTTAATACATGTGTGGAGGATGTTTTTGGATATACGTATTACATATATACAAATAGTCTGCCTGAAACAATAATGTGTGTCTGATATGTTTTTTATGCTAAATAAATAAATAAATGAAGTCCACATTAAAATCCTTAAAAAAGCTCTTTCTGCCCCACAAATTCAAGAATCTATGAATATTCAAATTTTATTAATCACAATTCACTGGTGGCTTTAAGTCTCTACACCACACTTGTATAAGTTGCATATGCCAAGAATGACTTCACAAATCAGATTTTCATTGAGCACAGAGAAACATTTCCACTTTCACCAAATTAATGTGAAAACATCCTTCTAGTGTCAAACTCTCCACATACATTTTCTGCACAGTGAAGCTTAAACTTCCAACTGTAGGAATAAGAATTTTGAGTGGAGGGAAACTTTTAAAAAAACACCTAGAACCGAAGTAGTGGATGTGCAATGTGCATCCTACTGTTTCCAGTACTACAATATGGCACCCTGAATGTCCCTAACCCTATAAGTAGATTTAAGGTTGGGAATTCCACAATGTCTTCCTGTATATTGCATATTAGCTAACTTACTTTATTATGTTTACACAGTGGAATATTTAAGCCAAACACTCCTGTTTTGCATCATATGATACAGCCTTTTCTGCCAAAATTCAGCCTGTATATATGTCATATTTTAGGAAACTTCATTTTGTCCTGTGGGTTTGAACAAAGTTTGAACGAGTTTGAAATGACCGGGCTACTGGCAGGTCAGCGAGGTTCCAATTTATATTTCACACAGAAACAGAAGCAGTGCACTAAATCTAAATTATGATTGTGGCCAGTATGACTCAGTGCATTTCAGTGCACTAACCACATACAGTGCAGCAATATTGGTCTGAAGATCTGCAAGGCCTCAAACTAAAATTGACTGTAGAAAGAGAAACTGAAACCACTGTCTGGTTCCAGCGGGGGTATTTCTTTTCTTTTTGGCAAACTTAGTGATTTGTTGATTTTTTCCACAGAGCCTTAAAGTACTCAAAATCTGGTTGTGTGAATGCCAGGTTACATGAATGGCACATCTACAACTTCTGCAGGGCTGTTGGGGCTCTGCACAGTCTTAACAGTGTGTGCTCTAATTCCTCTAAGCAGTGCACATTGCAAAAAGCAAGTGTAGGAATGCATAGACAAACAAGCAGACAGCCACTCTTTTATAGAGGTAAAGTAAATACGTAGTAAATAAAGTAGAATTAATTTGGAGGGCGCAAACCTCTGCCCATGCAAAAATATTCTGCTAACACCCAAAAACGTCCTTCCTGTTCTTGAAATTCTAAGAAAATGGATTTCTTTACCATGCAAACATCCCTTTGTGTTTGTCAGTTCAAGTTAGAGCTAAGAAAGGTTGTTTGTCCACCATATTTGATGGAAGAAATATTTTTTTACATAGGCTAATACATCAAAACACTTTCTTTCCATAGCAAGGATGTTGATCAAGTTCAGTTGTGGAGGCAGTGGAAGCCCTCGCTGCCAAATACACACATCAACATCTTGAGTTTCCAAGAAGCTAAATTAAGTTCTCTTAATCACATCTGAGATTGACAGCCACGATCACACCACTGCCAGATTTAGAAAATCTCTCCAATTGCCCGTATTTCCCTCACAGCACAGATAATTTAGAAACATACTATGTTTACACAGGGCTACTTATGTAAGACTGTACATCCACTATGCGTGAGAGTTTATTTGTGCGCATGTACACATCACAGATGGTTTCGTCTGTGTTTATGTCTAGGCTGACTATTTATTTACCTTTTACAGTGAATGAACTCATTGAAAGATATACAGTAGAAGGGAAAATACACTTGATTTAGTGCGGTTTAATGATGTCACCAATGTGTTTAATGTGGTGTATAAGTATTTGTGTTGGTACTCTCAAACCTCTGTGGTGGGAAAATGCACAACCCACAAGCCTACTGTAAATTCTGTATGCCATAGATTATGAAATAAAATTGCCTGTATGCTTTCTTCCCTAGGTGTGTGTGCAGTGGGTAAACCCATGTGTCTGATGTTCGAGTACATGGCCCATGGTGACCTCAATGAGTTCCTGCGTCGCCGTTCTCCAACCCAATCGGTGCGCACCCTCAGCCGCGCCAGCCTGTCGGGTCGCAGTTTTTCCTCTGAGCTGGAGGCGGGACTTCTCTCCTGTGCTGAGCAGTTGTCGATTTCCAAGCAGATCGCTGCAGGAATGGCCTACCTCTCAGAGCGCAAGTTCGTCCATCGTGACCTTGCAACGCGGAACTGCCTGGTCGGGGAGGAAATGGTTGTGAAGATTGCCGATTTCGGCCTCTCCAGAAACATCTACTCAGCTGATTACTACAAAGCCAATGAGAATGATGCAATACCCATTCGCTGGATGCCCCCTGAATCTATTTTCTATAACCGTTACACCACTGAATCAGACGTGTGGGCCTATGGCGTGGTGTTGTGGGAGATTTTCTCCAATGGGATGCAGCCATACTACGGTATGGGTCATGAGGAGGTTATTTACTATGTGAGGGATGGCCACATCCTCTCCTGTCCCGAGAACTGTCCTCTGGAGCTGTATAATCTGATGAGGCTTTGTTGGAGCACACACCCATCAGATAGGCCCAGCTTCAGTAGTATACATCGGATACTGGAGCGTATGCATCAGAACACACTAAGCATCAATGCTGACACTGAGGCTGACTGCTAACTGAGGAAACCTCTGAATTAAAAAAAACATCAGACTTATTTAGTGATTTGGTGCCTGAAAACACACTTTAAATGAGCCCAAGAATACATACAAAAAACATTTTTATCATAAGCAACTGTAATGTTTTAGTTTTGCTATTTTGTTCAGTTCAGGAATTGTTTTGAAGGAAAAATAGAGTTTTCAGACCTGATGAATTTACCAGCACGTATCCATCAGAACAGTCAGCTTTATTTATTAAAAATGTTAAATGCACTCTTACCTTGACCTGATCCCCCTACCTGAAGCCCCTAACCCTGCAGATACCCTCTAACCATTTTAGATACAGATGCACAAGCTGTTACAAATGGTCTGACTACTAAACATTAGGGATAGAAAGAGAATGGGACATGACAGTTAAAACTTAATTCTGACTACATTAATAAACCTGTCTTGTTATTGTCACCTCTAGCAAATTCCACAGCGGCACACAATCACTTTAAACCACTGCTGTTGATTGTTTTTATAGAAGTTGCTATTCCATTTTTGGGCATTCTCGTTTAACTTTTTCTCTTTTTCATCATGTTGATTTTTGTGTTTTTTTGTGTGTGCTAATTTTACTTTTTGACAGTGTTTGACACACAGTTTGATATGAGTAAAATACAGCAGCACTGGTAAAAATTGGTTGTCCAACTTGCGTCATCGCCCATAAGTCTCTCACTTTATTATTTATTACAACTCTCTCAAATAATCATTTTGCAGAAACTCATTAACCAAATTCATTCCTGTGCCTTAAAATAGACTATTTAGCAAGTGAAGAATGGACAAAATGTACCCGATGTTCAAAAATATCCTCATTCTGAAAGAGTCGATGTTTAACTGGTTCTGACAAAGATAGAAACTCTCTCTTACAGATCAAACTTTGCTCTGGTCTCATTTCAACTGTGTTAAATTGAATTAGGGTCATATTATTACACAATTTCAGTGCAGTATTACCACCATCTCTTCTTTGTCATGTGGATTACTCAAAGCAGTTTTTGTTTTGTTTGATCTAATTAAGAGGTTAATATTAAATGAGACTCGCCTTTCAGATGAATGATATGTTTTATTTCTTCCTAAATATGGTGTGACATTATGTTTTTGTTATTTGTTAAGTAACATAATGATGCAGATTTTGCCTCACTTACTGCCCTTTAAAGGTCTAGTGCGTAATATTTAGGAGGATCTATTGGCAGAAATGGAATATAATATCCATAGGTATATTTTCATTATTGTATAAACACCTGAAAATAAGAATTGTTGTATTTTTGTTAATAAGCAGTTTTAATCTACAGAGGGAACGGGTCCTCTTTTATGCTTAATCATGATTTATTATTGATTTTATTGTAACCAAACTCTGGCTTCAGTTTTGCAAACACCAAAGTTTCTCTTACCCGTTTGTAACGGGAGGGTCAAGCTAGGGTATAGGCAACAACTACACCACTATATGCCACAGAATCCTACACTCTGGACCTTTCAGTATGATATTTCTTTGTATCACTTGCAATTAAACATAATAATTAAAATTTGTATTTGAGATCTGGACAATAACACATCGTATTTTGTTGCACAATATTGTACATTCATCCCCTATGCTGGCAATAGATGTTTTAAATTGCGGAAGTATCAACGAAACATGTGTTGAATCATCTTACCTGACCAAAACCCTTCTGTACTAGTGAAAGCAAACATCTGGATGTAAATAATGTGATTTAGTCACTGACAATAAAGAGCATATTTAGGAGCAGGAATTGCCAGCCAGCTACATCTGGCCTTTTGGCTTGTGTTATACCACTGAGTGAGAATGAGGAAATGCTCCTTTGTTAATTCTGTCATGTTCTGCCAATTATCATTTATTCTGGAGCTGCAGAAAGCGCTTGGAGTGTCCAATAGGGAAAGTTTTCATGCCTGAATATGCTCAGTAAACATATTAAGAAGCTTTCTATTCGATATCTATATATTTATTATGTACAGGGAGAAAATATGCCCTTACAGCCAACTACAACATGTTCACAATCATTAAAAATCATCATCTGGGGACACAATAATCATACTGAATTTAAATAATTTGAGATTTTATCATTTCACTGGTGCAAAGTGTTGGAATGATGCATGGAGAGGCCGGTGTTTCAGCACAAGTGATTTGTTGCACCTCATAGAAAATAAATGGGAGGCATCGCTCCACCTAAGCTACTGTTTTCCGGTGTGGCTTTATGGTAAGAGTGTGGAACAGCAGTAAAAAAAAAACCACATCCACAGACATACCCACAGCAAATGACACGTGCCCCAAAACTTCCTCCACGTATTATTTGAAGGCCAGTTTTTAAACAAACAGTGGGGCTGAGGCATGAGCAGAGACAGGCATGAAGAACCACTGCAGGTGATGGAGATTTAAATATGGAAAATGTTGGTCATTAAGTAAGAAGAATTTCTGACCCTGAACTGTTCTCTGCTTTAAATGCCTCTCTCTTTCTGTTTATTTAATCACAAGCCTCCCCTAATACATATTCCATAACAGCCCCCTATACCCCACCCACACAAAAAAAAGTGCACCAAGTACTTTACCATTTGGATGCTGCAGTGTTATGACCCACCACAAGAGGGATCAGCGGGGTGAACTGAAGCAGAAGGACAGTTTTGCCATTCAGTGCTATGTGCGTGATTTTTACAGTGAATATCTGTTTGCATTACAGAGAAAATACGTTCTGTAATGCATGTGTTCCACTTATTTGTGTGTGTTTGTCTAAATTTGTGAATATGTGTCTGTGTTTGCTTCTCAGTGTGTGTGTGTGTGTGTGTTTTGGGGATGACCAGTGTAAACTGTTTAAAGTAGGCAGCATGGAGTTTGGCTTGGACTGATCATCCCTCTTCTCCTTGATCTAAACTGTGGATCAGACTGCCTCACTCCTACGTCCTCTTGTGTTCTTTTTCTCCACTTTTGACCTCCTACTGATTTCTCTGTCTGCACCATAGTGACTCCTGTTTAATTTCTTCCTTTCATTTTCTTTCTTTTCCTCATTGTCTTCTGTATTTTTGTTTGCTATGTGCTGTGTCCTGGTACTTACTCCATCACATGCATGTTATAAAACACAAAAATATTATTGCATTCTACTCAGTTCTCTGAACTAATGAAGTGATTGATGTGTGCAAGCAATAAATAGACCATGTTGCTCATGCTTGTTGTGGCAGTTGTTCTTGTTAGGGGTGCTGTCATTGGGTGTTGGCCACTCTATCGGTCTTTAAAACTCCCATGTGCAACATTTGAAAATGTCCTATTTGGCGCCCACAGTGATGGTATGATAAAAGCCACAGTGGTATATAGCAATGAGTGCACATTCTGGCCACCTAGGTGGTGGTGGCAGCAGCTTGGTGATCACGACAGGGCTAATGTGATAGCTTCCCTCATTTTGGACCCTTAGGGTTTCTCTGTTCCCTCAAAGGTTAGCAATGTTCTGTTGGTTTGCAGCTTGTCATCAGCAAGCATACATGTGTCAAAGCTTGCAAAAGTCCAAAAACTACACAAAAGCACTGTGTGAATTAACTTCATCTCCATAAGCTAACCCAAATGTGGCTGTTATGAATGATGGTGTGATAGAGCTCTCATACAAACTCACTGAAAAAAAATAGACTTGAAGCATTAAGCATGAATGAAATGCAAGCTGTTGCACAGCCGGTGTAGACAGCTGGATTGATTAAAAATAGAAGCGCATCCGTTCCATCAAATACGTGTAAGACAGAAGTATGGACAAGTTGTCCGTTTTTCCATGCCTGTCCTCTCCCATCTTCTCTCACTGTTTGTCCCTTCCAATCACCCTTCCAATCACTTCCAGTCTTTTTTCTACCGTCTCCATCACCACTGTTTCCTTTCTTATCTGTAGTTGCAGTCTCTTCCTTCTCCCTGTCTCCATTTGCTCTTTCTCTGGAATGTCTTAGTTAAAATGTATCACAAAGCCAGCAGCAGACACTGGGAAGTAACGCTTATTCATAGTGAAAAAGCCGAGTGTCCCTTCCCCAAACAAAAGCTTTGTCTGAATCGACTCTCAAACCTTCCTGCCAACTTGCAATAGCTCAATGTTTGAAGACCAGATATTTATTCTTCCATGAAAAATCACTTCCTGTTTTGTCATGATAATCTCTTTTGCCTCAGTACGTCTTCACAGCACAGAAATTTGATAATGTTTCAGAGGAAGCTCGCTGTGTTTCGTGGGAATTTCTGAATGTTTCAACAGAAATGCCGTGATTCCTGGATGTCTCAGCATGTTAGCAACTCAGCCTTAAATGTCTCATTGAATTTTCCAAGCATCATAGAGTTTTCTGGCAACAGGAATGCTGATTCTGTCCATTCAAATCATAATCTTTAACTTATCTGCCGCACATGCGGTAGGGCATTTGACCGGAGGGGCATATTTGTCAGTCAGCAAACCATGCTGGGAAACACGGAAAGTGTCTATATTGACATTGTGACGAAGCTGTGACATCCCCCTCACTCAGCGACAGCACAGAGGAACTTCCTGTGTGGCCTCACTGGCTCTGATTGGCTCATTCAGGGAGCAACAGGAAGTAGGGAGACATATATCAGTCAACCAGAGGCTAGGATTCTAAAGCTGTGGAACAATAAACATAGCAGAGTTTCACACACACACACACACACACACACACAACATTCTTTCCTATAAAAACATTTGGCCGCTGCCAGGATCGCTACTTAATTCATGTCACACACAACACATAGTGGCCCTGACCATTGTTAGGGTAGCCAGAGCCCGTCTACGGAGAGCC